ACGTTTTCGTACCGTTTCGCGCACATGCGTGGCCCACGTCTCTCCCTGAACGTCACCAGCATCGAGAAGAGGGAGAGGGGTGGCGGATGCCAGCCGGCGACGAAAGAAGGAGATACCGAGGCGAGGCAGCAGAAAAGTGAGAATGGAGATACAACACCCAATCTACTTTTAAGACATCCAGATACAACATACGTCAGAAGGTAGATAAAACACTTGAAACATGTATATGAAACACTTGCAAAAACACATGAAAAACATTGTAAAACATTATAAAACATCCAGGTAAAACGCTTCTAAGGGCAGGTACATTGCTACACGTCAGTTGTCTCGTACGCCGTCTCATGCAAGGCCACATAGTATTTTTACTGATGTGGTGGAAAGAGAGAGGGGAGAGAGAAAGAGGTCATTGTTTCGCGAAACAACCACCTCATGAGCTAACTATGAGACAAGTATTCTACTATTGTATGAGTTGTTGTTGCCATACAACTCATAACTTTACTTTTATTCTATACATAAATTAAGGAATTATAAACTACTACCAGACAACTTAAAAAACAACAATTGTACATGTTGTATATTAAGTCATCTTAAAATTGCGTGGCACTCTTAAAATTGCGTGGCACTACATGAGACCACCTACAAGATAGTACCAATATACTTGCCCTAACATACATGTAAAACATATGCAACATCCAAATAAACACACCTGCATCATACGTATGGAAAAACAGATAAAATATTGGGAACAGAAGCTTACAACATACGTATACAACCATTGCAACATATGCAGCATTCCGATCCACTTTTGCAACATCCGTATGAAACACTTGCAACATATAATTCTAAAATATCTGAAACACTTGAAACATACACTTGCAACATATCCTTTCAGCGCAACATTTCCTTGCTGCTTGGGAGAATGGAGGCTCATCGGCGTGTGTTCACAGGAGGCAGCGGAGAAGAGGGCACCCACATCGTGTTTAAGGAGACGACGGATGGATCTCGGAAGAAGGGCAGCCGGCGGTCCTCGGGTCCCACCCCAAGTTCAAGGGTGTGGCGGTCCGGCGGTGCGGGGAGCAAGCGTGGTGGCACGGCAGGTGAGCAGGGAGGGCGGCACGATGCGGGGCCAGAGCAGCGAGGAGGCAGTGGGGGCGTGCGGCTGCGCTGGTGGGCGGCGAGGCTGTAGGCGATGGCGTGATGCTGCGAGCGATGCGTGGGGTGAGACGTGTTGGGGAAGGAAGCGGGCCGTGAGGCAGAAAGACCGATTGACTTTGTTTTAGAAACTCCCAAGTAGATAGGAAGGGGTAGTGTCGTGGTCCATAAACGGAGCGTTCAGGACTGACGAACGCCCGCTTCTTATAATTATCTTAGAAGAGAGAAGAAAAAGAGAGGCTGATTCATCTCAGACGACGTGACAGGTTAGGGACCTACTGGTTACGTGCACACGATCAGGTGGGCAGTTAAGCTGGACTGCTGGACGCTGTCCGCGGACGGCGGAACGCTGCGTGTGGCAGCACCAGTCATCACAAGTAACACGTACGTATGCTCGGCAAAAAATTAGCAGTTTTCCAAGCCTTGTGTTATCCATAAACACAGTCTCTATCGTGGCTCGTCAAGTTGCGCGTTACTCCGTGGGCGAACCGACCGACCGCCTGTGGTCAAGCCGACCAAAATTAATTTAGGTTAAGAACCGGCCGGGCTGGGTCGCGTCCGCCGCCGCTTCCCGGACGCCGACGCGAATTGATTTAGCCCCAAGTACCGGACAAACCGTCGGTTAATCAGGGATCCGCCACATAAACGCGACGTCCCATTCCAGCAATCCAGCCCATCTCCGTGTGGGGCCGCCGCTCCTTTCACCGCCTGGATATGACAATGGGCCATGGCTCGCTGCCGCCGCACCCTGCACCGGGCACGTCGCAGCATGTGTGCCTTGCCGACGACGGCGTCAGGTACGTGCGACGCGCGGTTACATTGCATTCGTTCATTCGCATCCGACCGCGACGTCCACGTTGTCCGGGAGAGAGAGGGAGAGAGGAGAGGGCACGGCTCGCAGCCGCGCGTCCGCGAGGCTTTGCTGAGTCGCCTGCCCGCCACCGCGGGCTGCGGCATGTGCCGACACACACACGGGGCCACCTTGTACGTCTTTCCGCCACGTAGGGAACCGATTACCGGCCGGTTATACAAAGCATTTGTAGAGTGCTTGAAGATATTATTATTTTGTTTTCAGCTGTGCTAGCGATCGGAGTTCTGGACCGCGTCCTGACGCCCGCGTTGCACTTTGTTTTCCGTGCTCGGGCCAGCACGTCTACACCGAGCCTGCATTTGCCGCCCAGACGACGCCTACTCCACCGGACTGCGCGCAGGTACCGCTCACGGCCCCTTCAGTTTTCACGCATGGTAACACGAGCAACACCCTATCTATTTTTATAATATCTACATAAAACAATTACAACATATGTCTACAACAGCTGAAACATTTGTAACATACGTCAGAAATACTTGCAAAACACCAGAAAAAACTTGAAAACACGTGAATAGTCATTGCAAACATATACAAACATCAAGATGAAATACCAAAATATGTATGAAAAACAACTGAAACACTTGCATATATTACAACATCACGATTTAGTTTTGCAACATCCAAATGAAAAACTTGCAACATACGTCTGAAACAGATGAAATATTTGGAACATACAATTAAAAACATACGTGTATAGCCCATTGCAACATGTGCACCATCCTGATCTACTTTTACAATATTGATATAAAACACTTGCAATATATCTCTGAAACACTTGGAATATACGCTTGCAACATGTGCTTTCGGCGCAATGTCACCGTGCTATTTCGACGAATGGAGGCTTGTCGTTACGGAGCTCAACGCCGGTGCAGAGGTGTGACAGCGGTGAATGAAGCTCGCTGGTGCGACAGCGGCGCGAGAAACTCATCGACGGGGTGGCGTCACACGAAGCTCCTCCCCTCGCCCGCTTGCTGGAGCATCCTGTAAGGTAGCGCGGGCACGACGCCGGAGACGAGGAGCCACGCAGTACCGTACCCGAGGAGGCACGCGCTGGTGCCGATGAGGAGGAGCAGCGCGGGGTGGAGCTGGTTGCAGAGCACCCCTGGGACTAGGCCGAGGTTCTCGCCGACGTCGCAGGCGACCCCGAGCAGCGCGAGGCGGCTCTAGTCGGTGCCGAGTGAGACCTTGAGCGCGTGCGAGTAGAGCGCGGACGTGGAGTTGGCGCCGCCCGCGACATGCACCCACGCGTCCGTGCCCAGCCCCAGCAACGTGACTGGCTCCCCGCCTTCATGAACACCGGCCCGTGCATCTCGCTCGACAAGGGGAGCACCAGAGCAGTGTGCGCGATGTACAATTCAGACGTACTACGAGGCTATAAGGGAGGAGCGGTGCGTGGTGGAGACAGAACCACGTATATGCATTTGCCACAGACAGGTTGTTTTGGGCCGGTCCGCAGGCCCAACAAGCAAGCGTATGAGCGGACGGACGACCTAACCGAAGCATTACCGTATTGTTTTTTTACAATTGCGCAGGTAGGCCATTTAGACCCTATTTGGATCCCTATAGACACTCTCTTTGTCCATAAAAGAATACAATTATGGAAAACGTGCCAGTCAAACGAGTCTATCTTTGACCAAATTTATAGTAAATAGTATTATCACTTATGTCTCGAAATAAATTTATTATGAAAATATATTCTATAACTAATCTGATGATACTTATTTTGTATCATGAGTGTTAGTATATTTTTATATAATTTTCGTTAAAATTGAAACTGTTTGACTTCTCAAAATGCGACAATTGCATTCTTTTTTGACGCCGAGGAAGTAGTTATATACTAATAATTATCTCTTTTCGATTCAAACAGGTATAGATAATATACTAGCTAATTGTTAGCTTGTACTTTAGATAACAACTATCCCACTAGCTGAACCAAATCAGATAATGAGTTATTAGCGAGATAACTATTATCAGATAGTGATTCCAATCAGGATCTTAGATGTTGATTTGGAATTTTTTTTTATTAAAGATAGTGATGTTTATTCGTATATAATATGAAAATTCGGTAGGTATAACCACTTCTTACCACTAGATTTATCACAAAATAGTGGTGGAGTGGAAAGAGTTAGATTTATTATTACAATATGAAAATAAATAAATATTTTATTGACAAGATGGATTCTAGCATGAGCCAAAGAGGCCCGAAATGACTCGTTTCAGACATCTAGGGAGTTTGATTCTGGGTTCTGATCGACAAACCAAGACGTTAGAGTGCTCTGAGGTCTATGATACTGAGGCTTGGATGTAATACTCCGTATCCGTATCCGTATCAACAGGCAGTGAGCTCTACTACCGATCTCTGGAGAAATCAATCAAACCGGCTTGATGCAAAGCGGAGGAGACCCGTCCCAGATGCCAAATCTGGGTCGTTCCTCTTGGCCGGCGTGGACGCGCGGCACCGGGATCTGACTAACGCCGAGGCGGGTGTCGTGTCGGGGAGACGCGGGAGGGCAGCGCACAGGAGGGGGCGCGTGGACGTGCACCGCGGCAGCTGCCGTAACGAACCCATTGCAAACGGGACGGGACCCCCACCGCCCCACGTGAGGACAGGAGCGCGCGCGGCCGGCGGGAGGCCTGTGTCTCTGTGAGGCAGCGCTGTCACCACCCGACGGCAACGCGAAGCGACTTGCCAGCGACAGCCACGTCGGCTGGCCCGGGCCCCACACGTCAGACCGGACGGCGCCTATATAGTGGCCAGAGCAGCAGCAGAAGGCAGAGCCTCCTCTGCAACGCCGAATCGCTGATCCTCGCGCTTTCTTCTCCGCTCGCGAGTCGCAGCCAAACACATACATAGATCGCCGCAGGAAGATCCATCCTCTCATCTCCTGTCATTTCTCCTCACTCGAATCAAATCGAGCAAAGCCAAGGAAGATTTGAACCGCAGCTTCAGACAGCAGATCGATCCACTCGTGCTGGTATGGCGCACGACCTGTGCGATGACTTGGAGCTCGTCGCCGGCTGCGGCTATGACGACTACCTGGACGACTTCCATTTCCATGACGATGACGGCTTCCCCTCCTCTACTGCCAGCGGTGGTGCGTCCGGTCTCCAGTTGCGGGTAACGCCTCAGTACCATCATCACCTCTGTTTGCTCCCTGTTTCGTTATTACGGTTAATATACGGCGATTAAAGTACCACCTGGCTCTCCGTACACACACCAAAAAAGAAAGAAAGAATGATGCTCTGAGATGCCTGTCAAATTCAAGTTTGAGTAGATTTATAAAAAATATTAGCAATATTTATATCTCCATATGAAAATATATTTAGCCATTTATCTAATGGAACTAATTATGTACTATAGATATTATTATTTTTTAATTTAATATACGTTTGGTTAAAGTTAGAAATGGTTAGACTTGTGGACAAATCTTTTATAAGTAACAACAATATGTGTCCTACTTAGTAGCATATGTACACGTAGAGATGCAAGTGGGCTTGTTCGTGAATGTGTGAATTGCTTAATTTTTTTGGGTTCCACATCCCTATCTGTACAAAATCCTTTCATGAAATAAGTCCGTGAATCCATGAATTGGCTTAATTTTTTTTAGGTTTCACGTCCCTATCTGAAGAATCCTACTCCTGTGGTTTACAAAGTCCTTTTATAAAATCTGATGATCTTAGATTGGCCCTCGTAGTTGAGATATTTTTCTTTATCCAGAAAAGTTCGATTTACTTCCCTCACATGAACGTTTGAACTAATTTTGTGTCAGGATTACTTTTCCATCTAGTTTGTTTGTATTTAAGTTCAACTTTTGGTGGCATCATAGCGGACATCATAGCCTATGTTTTGACGGCATATTATGTTTTTTCATCATTATTTTGATAGTTAAGGCACCTAATAACAAATTAACCCTACCACTGGTGGAGCCACCGTCCGGTGACCGGCGACCCCAAGGCGGCTGCCCGGGCTCAACGGCAAAGCACAAAGGAAAATTTTCTTTGTATTGTAGGGAAATATTACATCTTTTTAGATAAATATTTATGCACGATGAGAATCATTTGGGCTCTTAAAAATTTCTAGCTCCACCACTGAACCTACATATAAAATAGTGATAAAAATTCATAATTTTTGTCTAACATAAGATATGTTATACGCTATCACTTCTCAAAATCTGAACTTAGAATTCATTTTTTATGAGGAGAAACAAAAAAAAAAGTCAAATGGAACTATTGTTAAAGGTTAGGAGTAGATAGGACAAACTAAATCAGGGGAGGAGGTTAAATTAAATAGAAATTCAGCTTAGGGGGTTATCTACACAGGCCAATAGGTTGGTGGAAATTTGGAGCTTTTCCTTATCTAAAGAAAGTTCAGTTCTTCCCCGGAAAAAAAGGAAGTTCAGTTCTACTAAGTCAGGATAATGAGAATCAGATACTTGGATTTGTCCTCATAGATCAGGTCTATCGTATTGACCGAGTACAAAAAAATCTGATGGGTCAAGGTATTATTACATACTGGACTTATACTATAAGGTGGACAAGTCAGTGGTAAACACAGAAGACTCATTGACTGAGTTAAGGTTTTGTCATCCAGACAATTTAATTGAAAATTAACGTTCCACCTACGTGAATATTCTAAAATTACCCATTCAGTCTCATATGATAGAATTTTACTCGATCTTTCCAATCCAAGCCAATATATAGTTGTGGTTCATTATCTGGGCGTGTTTCTCAACGCAATGAAGATAAGAAGTTTCCTCAAAAAAAAAAACGCAATGAAGATAAGAAGCCAGGAACGGCATAAGTTCTTGTTTGTTCTAGGACCTATGGGGTATGATATAAAAATTAGTATCTAAATAAGTATATTTTCAGCTTTGGACTTTAAAGAAGTATATTTTTTCTACGTGCAGCAGCATGAGCAGATGGATAATACTTCAGCTTTGGACTATAAAGAAGGGAAAGACATGCAAGGAATACCCTGGGAAAGACTGAACTACACTAGGGATCAGTATCGTCAGATGAGGTTGAAAGAATACAAGAGCTATCAGAACCTCACGAGGTCGCGCAGCGGGCTAGAACAGGTTATATCCCTTGTCACATTTTCATGCTCTGCTTTTGGAATTCTTGTTAAATACAATTTTCTCTACTTTGTGTTTTATGTAATGCCTGATATGTTTGTTTTCTCTATGTAAGGAATGCAAACAAGTGGAGAGGAAGGATACCTTCTATGATTTCCATTTGAACACGAGAGCTGTCAAATCAACAATAGTGCATTTTCAGGTACAATTTTACTCTAGTTTTCCATTCACAGTCAGCATGCTTACCAAGCTGCCACTAGCATAATGATATATTTTGGTAGAGGATGTGAAGGTGCCATTTGATTAACACACTCAAATTCACCATGTTTTCATCCCATATTATCCAAGTCTGCACTGACAAAAATACTGTCATGATAGTAGTCATTCCGTTGGTCATGGGCTCAGTGGGTTGTTAAACAATTCATTAACTAAGAGTTGCCATGTCAAGATGCATAACGCCGGGTTGCTTCACAGTTGATTAGTTCAGTTTGCATCATGAAGCACAGTTGATTAGTCAGAACATGTTGTGCCATTGTGTGCCCCTATACCTTCCATGTTCAACAAGTTCGACTACCTATGCCTGGTGAATAAAAAACTCCTTTTCATAAAAAAAAGTGAATAAAAAACTACTCCTAAAATATTAAATCCTAACTTGAAAATGGGACCATGGATTTCTTTTTTCTACTGCTGTGCATGCCGACTTATACTATTCATTAAGCATATTTCATCTGCATTGAATGATGTTGCTATTGTTCTGCTTCTGTGTATGGACATAACACTGATTGCAGGTCATGTGACGAGTTGGGTTGCACTATTTGCAATTAGTCTTGTGATACTAGTTAGGGAATCTACAGTATCCTGTTCCATGAGGTCCATAAGCAGGTGGATGAGCATCCTCAGACTGGAGAAGTGACTACAAGGGTTGGAAACTTGCAATATGGTATGATAGGACGTTTTAAGATGAGCGAGTCTGTTAAATGGATCACCTTGAGTTTCCTTTTTTGCAGGTTGTACGGGGAGAGCTGGAGTTCACAATTTTTTCTTGCTGCATGCTCATCATGCTCATTTTTGTTTGATATGCTTTTCATGTGAATGGAAATTGTGCTCAAACTAGTGCTGTTTGTTAAAATTTATGGGGTTTATATTGCCAAATATCATGTCCTTCGTTGGGTGATAATGTGTGGCTAACTGTTCTGAATGGCAATGTTAACACGGACCTGCACAACAGGAAGTTAGTAATTTCTAGAATGTAGAAACTGCACTTCGAACACTGAAAGTTCAGTTTGAGCCTATGTATGGGCCATGATTACTGTAAGACTTAACTGTGAAACTTGTCAACAATGGGGTGATGGTTGAAATTGTTTTATGTGCATCTGGAATTTTGTTCACGGTTTGTCTATGTACTAGCTCGGTCAGTGCTTGTGAATTGTAAGGTGTACTAGTACATTAGTGGAATCACACGCAATGCAGTGGGGGCAGGGGAAAATTTCCTCTGTAGGTCGAGTTTTAAGTTCAGTCTTATTTCTTCCTTCTTCCCTCAGTGCAAGCTCACTCGGCGGTTGTTCAGACTTCAGACCCCATCAGCGTCATCAGCATTTGCTGTTGAATAATTGATGGATGGGGAAGAATCACAATATTACATGTTCCTGTTACCGGTCTGAAAAACAAGTGCTATTGCATCATCGCATCCTGTAGCTCTCTTAATTTGTATCCTTTGCATTCTCTGGAGCATGTATTTCAAGTGCAATAACCGTGTTCCAAACATCTGCAGCTGAGGAACCTCCTATGGCCTACTTCGAAGCACGACGTGTACCTGGTGCAGAACTACTCTGTGATGCACTGGTCTGCCCTGCTCCAGAGAGGAAGAGAGGTGCTCAATGTGGCCGGCCGATGGGCCCCGACACAGGTCCGCGGCCTTCGATTGTCGTCGTCGGCGTTGTGTCAGCTACATATTTCTGCTCCTTTAGCTTCTTCCTCTCCAGTCTCCTAACCTGCAGATGCTACCTGATTGTGCAGAATGTGAAGGGGTCTAGACCATTGTCGAGGGTTCAGATCAGCACCATGGCTGTGAAGGACAACCTCATGGTGGCCGGCGGCTTCCAGGGAGAACTCATCTGCAAGGTAGGATGGGTGGCCTGCAGACTCGTCAGTGTTTTCCTTAGTTCTGTCAGCTTACATGTCTCTCACTCCTGCGCATTACTTATTCATCAGTATGTTGATAAACCCGGGGTGGCATTCTGCACGAACCTGACCGGCGACGACAACTCCACCACGAACGCCGTCGACATCTACCAGGCACCCAAGTAAGCGAGTGAGATCTCATTTCAGCCTTTTCAGGCATGCAGCCTCTGAATATGAGCAATGTTCTACTACTATATATATGTTCTGATGAACCACGACACGATGCAGCGGTGCCACTCGAGTGATGGCGGCGAACAACGACTGCATGGTCAGAACGTTCGACGCCGATAGATACAGCCTGCTCACCCAGTTCACCTTCCCATGGTCTGTCAACGTGAGTGCCCGGTGCTCTCTCTGGAGCAGTCGACCGGATTTATCAGTCTCATGGTGTACTGAATCCGTGACACTGGCTATATATGCATGCAGAGCACGTCGGTGAGCCCCGACGGCAAGCTGCTGGCGGTACTGGGCGACAGCACGGAGTGCGTGATCGCCGACCCGCAGTCGGGCAAGGCGATGGCGACGCTGCGCGGGCACCAGGACTATTCCTTCTCGTCGGCGTGGCACCCCGACGGCCGCGTCCTGGCGACGGGGAACCAGGACGGGACGTGCCGGCTGTGGGACGCGCGCAGCCTCTCGGAGCCGTTCGCGGTGCTCGGGGGCCGGATCGGCGCCGTCCGGGGCCTCCGGTTCTCCCCCGACGGCAGGTTCCTTGCCGCGGCCGAGGCCGCCGACTTCGTGCACGTGTACGACGCCGCGGCCGGGTACGTCGGCGCCGCGCAGGAGGTGGCGCTGTTCGGGGAGGTGGCCGGCGCCGCGTTCAACCCCGACGGCGAGGCGCTGTTCGTCAGCGTCGCGGACCGCACCTACGGCGGCCTGCTCGAGTTCCGCCGCCGGAGGGCGTACGGCTACCTCGACTCGTGTTTCTTCTGAGTTCTGAGGGAGGCGCGCCATCGACTGTGTGACTGTGCATGTGCCGGCACGTATAGTTCTTGTGTCGTTGTGCCTAGTGTAAAGCGCAGAGTTTTGGTGTGTGTAGTGTAGGTGGTGCGGCCTCCATTCCCTCTCTTTAGAACGGCGTAATGGCAGGTGCTTTCAGGAGCTAGCGCCCCTTTTCTCCTGGTTTGTTTCGGACTTCCGGGAAACGAAAAAAAACACTTCTAGTGTGGTGTACTCGGGCTGTTGTAGGTATTGCAAGCTTGCTATAGAGGTGTTGTGTATCAATTCACGCTGGGTAATGTAAGAACTGTAAATGAGTAGAATTGGTACTGTAAGTATGAAATTATTAATATTGCTCGGTGTTTTTAACTAACTAGCACAAGTGTCCGTGCGTTGCAACAAGTGTCCGTGCGTTGCAATGGGTATTTATGCGTTGTTTTGTCTTGAAAGCTAGTTTTTCATTTACATCATTATACTTTTATTGCACTCTATGTTATGCTAGAAAACGTATATATACAGTTTTGACTCAAAATATTTTCTTCTACTTAAGTAATCAATTGCATTTATGCAATAGCGCAAGCGAACACGAAGGGCCAGCGGCGCACGTTTTCACTTCTACTTTCAATCATAGCATCAAAGAATCAACAAATATAATAGAGCATGCTTTCACTTCTACTTTCAATCATAGCATCAAAGAATCAACAAATATAATAGATCATACTGTCCAGTGAATTTACATAGAGTATAAACACTTCATCGTTCAATTTTTTTGTTAAAGTCGAGACAATAGCACACAATTAATTAACGAGGAAACATAATGCCCTATCTTTTCTTTTCTTTCTTTTTTTTCTCTCCTTTCATTTTCTTTATTTTTCTCTTCTTCCTCATCCTTATCTGCTAGAGTCACGTGGCCTCATCCACTCACACCCCATCAAGGCCTCTAACTTCGTCCGCCTGAAGCCTTGCCAAGGCGGCCATGGAGCCCTGATGGGCTGACAGTCACTGCACCCTAGCGGCCACGGAGCCCTGACCCGACCACACTAGCTCCACATGACGGCGTATCGGTAGCCTGACAGGTCCATGCGACGGAGCCATGGCGGCCGCATGCCCCAATGACTTGGCAGCCTCGCCCGCATCGCCGTCTCCTCTCTCTCCTCAACATCGTCCCGTGTCATCACCGTCGCACATCCTCGCCTCGGTCTCGCTCACGTCGCCGTCTCGTTAGGTTGCCCCTCCGTTGCCCGAGCCATCGTCTTCGCGCCTCACGCCATCCTCGTTGCGGCCTCAACATCTTTTTTGCACCGCCTCGCCTGCGCTAATACGGTGCCTTGCTTATATGGTTTAATTGGTGTTCAATTTAACTCGCATTTATTTATTGAGTCGTTGTATTGTATTCGATTTCTCCTATTGGATTCGTATGGGGAGTCCATCACGTTGGAGGTGGGGACACAAACCAAGGAAAGAAAATTTATTAAAGATTAGATCCAAACTGAACGAAACTTTGAAAAGAGAATTATCGGACAAGAAACAAAAATCTGAATAGAGATCAGAGTTAGGACGAAAAAATTGTGGCAGAAATTTTGTCTCTTTATTATTAGGTATATACGGACGTGGCTAAAGCACGGCCGTGCATGCATTAAGTGCGTCGGACGGCCGTCTTCTTCCTCGCGTTGCCCCCTTCCCCTTCTTCCTTCTCACCGGCGCCTTCTCTCTCTTCGGCGACCCTCACCCCTGCAACCGCACACTGCCCTGTCATGGTGAGCTAGGGTTTCGCCGGAGCTCCGCGGTCCCTAGCTCGCCCGCGGCGGCCGCCTTCTCCCCCTCTCTCGCTAGAGCTCCGCCATGGCTATGGAGCTCCCCTATCTCGACCTGGCCCAGACGCCTCCACCGCCGTGAGGGCCCTTAACCGCCCTCCATCCATCCCCACCGTCTGGCCGGTCTTCCTCCCCTAGACACATCTCTTCTAAGCCCGTTGGAGTTGAGGAAGAAGGGGGTGGCAAGGCACGAGCGAGGATGAGGAGGAGGACATACCTCGCCGGAGCTGAACCCACCACCGCCGCCGACAGAACCCTAACGGTGGGGAGGAGCAGTGGCGAAGCTACGTTCACGCGTCGGGGTCTAGCGACACCGACGACTTTGCGTTTCACCTTATACAGGGTAATTTTGACCGGCTTGGACCCAGCAAAATTTACGTGAGACCCCAATGGCCCGGCAGGTGGCAGCCCAACAGCAACAGTCCAAAGTCCATCGACCGCATACCTTTCACCCCATCCGATCCATCAATCCCATACGCCCACAACTCCACATACATGAGTCGGTGAATGCTAACATGTTGCAGACACGGAGAGTACTTGATAGCCTGAAGGCGAACGTCGCTTAGCCTTGCACCCGACGCATCCCAAATCTTTCTGGCGGGCGTCGCCCTGCCCGTGCCGGCGCAAGTGTTGCTCCTCATGGCTCGATTCGTTCTCAATCTGACGATCTTGTGTTCTCCTGCTGTCTACTCTCAATCTAGATGAGGTACAGCCGTACAGGTACCCCACACAGCAAATACCCAATTATGCAATTTGTAATTAAATTAACGATCGTCTAAACATTGAGGTCTCAGGGTTTTTATTTTTTTCCAGCTATACAATCCGAAATCAGATTCTCAGAAAGCAGTCGGTAACTTGTGTTCAAGCAATGAAGTGAAGGACGTTGTCTTTCATTCCATCCAGCAAGATGCCAGGTATCGATCTAGTAGTGACTTCTACATTATACGCATAGCTGCTATCTGCTTTAGTTTTTTAATCACAATTCCAATGAAACATGTGATAATTCGCTTTCATAAGATGGAGGATCATAGTCGTAGAGAGAAAATGTAAGAGGTAACTACTATTGCGAAACCTTATTTTGTCATAATATGCGGTTGTTATTTTATCAATGTCAAGTTATGCATGGTATTATATTATCGGGACCTATAAATCAGCAATTAATACTGCTGGGCAAAGCCAGCTATAAATTTATAGTGGTACCCTACTAAGAGGACATACATAATTTGGTAGAAATACATGGTGAAAGTTTGTCTAATTAGTGGAATTTTTTTCCCTTACCGTGGTGCATTGGCACCAGGCAAGCTCAATGTAGCTTCGCCCCTGGTACTGTGAGTACCGACCCCGGCAGCCATTTCTCCTGGCTTCGCCCCTGGGGAGGAGGTGGGGCGCGGTCACGTGGAGGTCGCCGGGGAGGAGACCGCCAAAGATCTAAGAGAGAGCGATAGAGGGAGGTGGAAGAGAGCGGGTGTGCGGGTGCTTCTGAGGGGCTGGCGAGTGGGCATGCGGATCGAGCATTTAACGCCCGCACGCCAGGTTATAAGACATTAACTCTTCTTTTCTTGGAAAAGTTGAACTCTGCTTTTGTAAGAGCCAAGTACAAGTTTTTACAGGCCAACACTTCATACTGGGATTAACAGCTTAACATTGACACACCTCATGCTTGGAAGCTTGGGATTACCCGCTTAACACTAACGGCAACAACTATGTCGAGCTCTGTCAGAACCATTTTTTTTTTCCAAAAATTGCTGGCAGGACTTTTGCCTAGCAAATATATATTATATTAATAGAGGAGAGTCTTGCCAGAATCATAGGCTCAGCGAATTGGCACAGGTTATCACAAAGATAAGAGACTGGGATTACTAGCTTAACACTGGAGCACCAACTATGCCAAGCCTTGCCAGAACTAGTAATTTGCGTGCGCCCATGTGCGCGTGATCACTTCGCGGTTTTATTTGTCAAATGGAACCTTGAGATAGATATGATCAATAGAGGAAGACTCAGAACCTAATATTAGGTGATTGCACACTATATGTATACTTTGTGAAACATTGGGATATCATTACACAAGGAAAGGAATGGTAGGTGATTCTGAGCCTGTTCTGATATTTATGACTGGTAACAGAGTTTACAGGTTCGATCCGATAAACCATTGTTACAAGACTCAGTTTTGATCTAGGGAAGAACCTGTTTAAATTTTGAAATAAAGGTGAGTGTCTACCACGCTACACCAAGTCTAGATGCCCTTGAGCAACTGAAACACCAAACTGCCATCATTGTGCTTTCAGTAGGCAGTAGTCATAGATCCAAAGCCATTATACTAAGCAACAACTTTGCTAAAGCAACATGGCTGGGGAAGTAATCACTAGTAGAGAAACGACCTTTGATCAAGCTCGAAATTTGACTTTAGTCCCGGTATTTTTCGCGTCCGGGACTAGAGAGACCTTTAGTCCCGGTTTGTAGATCCAACCGGGACTAAAGGTCCCTGCCCAACGGCTACTGCGCCAGGCTTTTGCTGGAGGGGACCTTTAGTCCCGGTTGGAGCTACCAACCGGGACTAAAGGTTAACTTTTACTCCCGGTTGGTGCCTTCAACCGGGAGTAAAAGTCTACTCCCGACTGGAGGCTCTGTCCGGGACTAGAAAGGGACCTTTAGTCCCGGTTTCTGTCTCCAATCGGGACTAAAGGTACCCTCCTATATAGCCCTTGTTCCTCCCCAAGCCCGAGCCATTTCGAGCTCAGTGTTCTCTTGCTATCGCCGGCCTCTCTTCTTCCTCATCACCGGTATATCACAAGATTTCTTCCATTCCTCCATCGGTTCTAAAGGTTACCAACTTTATACTCTCGTGTTTCATCTGTAGCTTATTTCATTTTATGGACTAGATATATGTGGTTTTTTTTTGTAGATTTTTTTATTTATAAGCCATTTAAGCTCAAAATCACTTTAAAGTTTGCGTATTTGGATGAAGGAAGGCTAAAGTAGTTATTCAAAACTAGTATTGAGCTTTCATTTCTAGCATGCATAGCACACTTCATACTTTAGAGATATAGAGAATTTTAGAGTTTTTTAATTTTATTTGTTTATAAAATGAGAAATTTATATTATATTAAAAATGAGTATAGAGAGTAGATGGCAACTGTTTCCGGGTCCTCGGCCTCTCATTGGGTTACAAAGCGACTGAGG